GGTTTTGATTGGTTGATGGATCGATTGGTTTTTGATTGGTTGATGGATCGATTGGTTTTGATTGGTTGATGGATCGATTGGTTTTAATTGGTTTTGCATTGTTGATGGATCGATTGGTTTTAATTGGTTTTGCATTGTTGATGGATCGATTGGTTTTTGACTGGTTGATAGGTCAATTGATTTCGATTGTTGATTGAATAATTTTAACGAGACTTGATTGATTGATTTGGTTTCTGATTAGTAGTTGATTTTGATTGGTTGAGGTGTCGATTGATTTTGATTGGTTGAGGGATCGATTGATTTATATTGGTTGAGGGATCGATTGATTTATATTGGTTGAGAGATCGATTGATTTTGATCGGTTGAGAGATCGATTGGTTTTGATCAGTTGATTGGTCGATTGGTCGATTGATGGTTGATTGGTGGATTGCGTGGTTTTGATTTGTTGATTGATTGATTGGTTGATTGGTTGATTGATTGATTGATTGATTGATTGATTGGTTGATTGGTTTAGAGATCGATTGGGTTGATTGGTTGATTGATTGATTGGTGAGAAGACGAGCTGGGGAAGGAAGGGCAAATCGCTGAAATCAGCGTTTATTTTTTGGTGTTGAAGTCTTTGATCAATCAACCGAATGAGGGAGCTGCTGTTGAAGGATCAGGTCGGCTGATTAGCGAACGAGTGGTCGATTGATTTGATTGAATGATTGGTCGATTACTTATTTCTTCAGTCAGTGAAATTTGCCAATCAATTGATTGGAAGAGACTAATTAATCGTCGAGTAGTAATTAACTAATTAATTACTTAACTAATTAATTACTTAATTAGTTAATTAATTAATCGGTGGTCAGCGGAATGAACCGAATGATTGGTGGTGCGTTGACTGATAGGTCGATGAATCCATTCATTCAAATAATTAATCAACTTGAAAGTATTTGATTTGATCAAATCGATCAGTCGAGTTTTCATTATGTTTTACATATTATTATTATTATTATTATTATTATTATTATATTAATCAACTTGAAAGTATTTGATTTGATCAAATCGATTAGTCGATTTTTCATTAAGTTTTACATAGGAGTATTATTATTATTATTATTATTATTAAAAAAGAAAAAAGAAAAAAAAATGTTCTGTGGGATGAGAATTGGATTATCTGTGGGATGTGTACTTGCTTCGTCTGTTTAATAGGCTTTCTTCTTCTGTGAGGTTTGGTTTCCTCCGCCTTTTCTTTACCTCTTTGCCTTTTGGCTGCGTGCAAGTGGGTCTTTATGATACACGGGGATGGGGGCAGCCAGCGCTCAACCTGTCATCCACGTGGCTGGCCTTGTACGTACGAGGTTATGAACGGGTGGAGCTTTCCTTACCTCTTCTTCTTCCCCTTTTTTCTTGTCTCTTCTTTTCCTCTTTTTTCGCTTCTGTGCTCTGATTCACAGTGTGACAATATATATTAATTAAAATTACCCGATTAATCAACACAATCAAACAATTCGAAAAAAGATATGAATTGCCGTGCAGGGCTCTCGATCACTCTCTTCACGATCGGCCGTTGCTGGCTCATTGGATTGGCCGAGTACTTGAGTGTTTTTTTTTTTTTTTTT